GAACTGGCAGCAGGGTGAGGCTGAGGAGGAAGCCAGCCCTTGGAGAATGCCCAGCATTCGGCATTGAAAGTGCTGGGCCATGCCCGTAGCTACTCTAAGTGCTGGCAGTGCACAGAGAGCTAGCACACGATCTCTCCCTCAGGGCGTGGACCGTCTAAAGAGGCAAGTAAACACTAAACTGGAAGCAGGTATGTGCAGTGACTAGGAAGACTGAGAAGTGCTGAAGAGAGCCCCGAGGGGATGCGACTCGGGATGTGGCACTCTCCAAGGGCGCCTTCCCAGTCCTGAAGACAAGCTGCCAGCCAGGGCAAGATCCAGAGGCGGGAGAGCCAAGACGGCAAGTACCCGAGGCTGGGTGTGTGCAGAGTTTAAGAGCGGAGAGAAGCAGGATAAGAAAAAGAGTGAGCGAGGTCATCACATTGGCAGAGTTGTACCTATGGACAGGACCGGAGACCACAAGCACGAGTTTGAATTTTCTCCTAAGGATAATGGAAAACTACCACAAGGTTTCAGGCAAAAGAGTGATGGGATATGTTTTTCACGTTTCAAAATCTGGTGGGCAGGTGGAGAATGCAGGTGCAGGGGCTGGAGCCGAGACATCACACTGAAGGTGCCCGTAGCTATCCAGGGCCAAGGCAGGGGCAGTGGAGGTGGGAGAGGGGCATGGATGATGAATATACTTTAAAAGCTAAGCCTGCAGCATTTCCTGGATGATTGGAAGTGGTGGGCGAAGGAAGAAGAAGAATGCAGAGTGACTGCGGTGGGCACAGCCTGAGCACCTGGACGGATGGACATGTCATTACCAGTGTGGTGGGATGAGCCGGCTGGGGAGAGAAGCAATCCGGAAGTGAGTTGTAATGATGCTAAATTTGAAGTTCTATGGTGGTGTCAAGTAGCTAATTGGACGTATACCATCATCTTGTACTGCTTTCATGTAAATTGGAACGATTATTTGCATCATATTTTCTTTCAGGCAACTTTAAATAAGCTCATGTTTTACTTTAGCTCAGTGCTAAGCAATATTATCCAGAACACCGAGGATTTTGCAGACTACTAGTGTTATTTCCTGACTATACACCCAAGAAAAGAAAAGAAATAATAGCACCCGTAGTGTTCAGGTCCCCCTGCAATTCAACAGTGACATTTCCTCCTTCCTCACCCTCTAGGAGGGCCTGGGCAACCAGTGTGCCCAGACTTGGACTGGATGGAGCCATTGGCTTGGACACTCAGGAAATCCTGAGGACATGTGAAGGGACTATGATGAGGCATTGGTTGGAGACAGAGTGCTCCAGCAGCTCTCCCAGGTCTTGGGAACAGCCAGAAATGGCCCCTCGGGGCCTGCTCAGTCCCTTGCTTGGTAGGGGGAGTCAGCGGAGAGCCCACTCCGCTTTCCTGAGGTCCATGCGCCCTCTGGTGGTCGGGTTCTTTGTCTGTGGCTGGAGGGCTTTCTTGCTCCCAGGGTAAATAGAAGAGGGGTCCCTCTGCCTTGGCCTCTGTCCCAGGAAAGGAAAAGTGGCCAGACCAGCTTTAAGCTCCAGAACAAGAAAGAGATACATGCTGCTGAGGCTGGAACTTAGGTTGGATGAGGATGGGGATGGCAGTCGGTAAGCCACAAAGGGGCCACGAAGGGTAAGACCTAAAGGGGAGGGTGAATGATGGGTGGGCACAGGGGCTTTTGTTCCCTACGGAAGGTCACCAGTGCAGAGAAAAGCAAACTCATGGAGATGGACCAATAGGGCAATTTGCCTTCGGTGGGTATATCTAAAGGAGAATAAAACATATTCCAAATTAAACAGTTTTGAATTAAGAGCAGGCAACATCAGGCTTTGCTGCATAAATACAGCACATAATGGAAAATGTACTTCGGTTCTTATATTACAGCCAGTTACAGAAGAGATGGGGGCGGAGGCCAGCGGCAGGCAGAGTCACGCTCCTGTTGCCGAGAGAGCTGCTGAGAGGGAGTGGGTGGGGGTTGGTCCGAAGCAGATGCTGCGTGCAGCAGCTGACGTCCAGGTACTCACACGGGCATCTGCATCATGTCCACAGAGATGTGCAAACATACGGCACACATACTCTTGCTGTCACTCGGCATAGGCACTTGGAGCACAGCAAAGGGCTGTGGAAGTTGGATCTCAGGGTGTCTGAGGAAAGGGAGCTGGGGAGAGGGTGGGAACTGAACCCTGAAATCTGAGTCTTGTGCCAGTAAGTTCCCCATGGGACCCAGGGGACCACCTGTTTTGCCATAGGGAAAACCAGCTTCAAAACTCATCGTGCATCCCATAATACAGGATGGAAATGTGTACGTACTCTCTGGGGCTGGACTGAGGGGGAACCATGCATACTACAGAGGCCTTGTAAAAATCAAGGCAAACATTTTCAGTAGAGTCATGCCCCTGCCCCTCGCCCCATGGGCAGCCTAAGTCTGCAAAACTAACAACTTGTCCAGGTTCCAGAACCTGGTGGAAATTGAACTCCTTAATGCACCCTTAGCAACAAGCATCTTGGCAAGCAGTGTGGTGAGTCTCCAAGGACTCCTCCTCCTATTGGCTGGGCCTCTCTTGAGGCAAAAGGGCGTGGAGCCTTCTCTTCCATCCTGATACCCAAAGGAAGAGCTCTCACAGAGCACCGGCCCGTCATAAATGTCCTTTCCCTGTGGCTACCACTCACAGGGACCAGGATGGGCCTGAATAGTGCTACAGATCCCTTCGGGTGATGTTTCCCCTGGTTAAGACTTACTACCACAAGCTAAGGGTGAGGCCAGGAAATTACACTAAATTCAAAAGAAGTCTGGCTAGAAAAATGAATTCACATAAAAATACCTACTGACGCCAACAGCACAAGCAACACAAATGAAAAATAGACAAACTGGATTACGGTACAAGTAAAAGCCCCTGTGCATCAAAGGACATGGTCAACAGTGTGAAAGGGTGATCTGTGGAATGGGGTGACATGTTCTCAAATCATACCTGGCAGGAGGATTATAACCACAATATTTAAAAAACTTTTGCAACTCAACTCAGTTAAAATGGCCAAAGAACTGGAATGGACATTTCTCCAAAGATGACACACGAAGAGCCCACAAGCACGTGAACATATACCCCCGATTGTGAGCCACTAGAGCAATGCAAGTTCAAGGCACAGTAAGATATCATGTCACACCCACTAGGGTGAGGCTGTAAAGAGACTGAAAATAAATGCTGGTGAGGATGTGGAGAAATGAGGAAATCTGTGTTCTGGTGATGGACTGCAAAATGGTGCGGCCCCTCTGGAGAATAGGATGGCAGTTCTTCAAAAAGTTAAAAGAATTATCCTAGGATCCAGCAAATCCATTTCTGGGTATGTACCCAAAAGGACTGGAAACAGAAAAATGACATAAGTTTATCCTTCTTTATGGCAGAGTAGTACTCCATTGTATGGAAATACAATCATTTAAGCAGACGAATGGCATAAGCAGCCCAAGCCATCAGCAGATGAATGAATAAGCAAAATATGGGTGCTGATGATAACAGACTAAGTGAAATAAGCTAGAAACAAAGAATCAATATTATATGTTTCCACTTCTATGACATCCCTAGAGGAGTCAAGTTCATAGAGACAGAGTGGAAAGCAGTGGGTGCCAGAGGTGAGGGGAGATGAGAAGGGCTTGGAGGTTGATTTTATGACAATGTGAATATACTTTTAAAATTTTTATTTCTATTCGCCCATGTCTGCAGTACACAAGGATTACATTGCTCATGGGTCGTTGGTATGTGTACACAACACAACTTAATTCTTTTTTCATTCCCTATCCCTTCTCTCCCTCCCACTACCCTCCATCTCTTGGCCTCCTTTCCTTTTGCAGAAGATTTCTATCACTGCTTCCTATTATCTTTATGTTGCCCTTTAATTTACTGATATTTGGGGTTTCTTGTGTAAGAGAAACCAAGCAATATTTAAGCTTGTGTGCTTTATTCTACTCAAAATGCATCCATTTATCCTTCTTTATGGCAGAGTAGTACTCCACTGTGTGCAAACACATTTTCTACCCACTCATCTGTTGATGGATATGTAGACCACATGTGAGATTTAGCTAGTGTGAGTTGTGCTGCTATAAGCACGGGTCTGCATGCATCACTGTAACGTGATGTCTTTCACTCTTGGAGGAAGAGACCTAGAATGGGAATACTGAGATGAATAGAATTTCTGCTGTTAGTTTTCTAAGGACCCTCCACACTGATTTCCATAGTGGATGCGCTAGTTTACACTCCCGCCAACAATATAAGAGGGTTCCTCTTCCACCGCAGCCTCGATGATAACCATTCTTTCTGGAGTGAGATGGCATCTCAGTGTTGTTTTAATTTGCATTTCTCAAGTGGCCAGAGATGGTGACCATTTTTTCATGTATTTGACGATGCAGATACACTTGACACTACTGAACTATACCCTTAAAATGGCGAAGTAAATTTATGTGCATTTTAGCACAATGAATGAATGAATGAATGTTGTGTATGAAGATGAAGGCACAGGGCTCTGCTCCTCAACCTTCTTGCCCACAAACCAGCACTGGTCCTTTGGGCTCCTGTTTGCCTCATGAGCCCCAGTTCGAATAGCTGCGGCTCTAGGAGGTCCGCCCCAGCTCCCCCAGGCAGAGCCAGTGCTTCTCGGAAGCATCTGGGTCAGTTGTGTCAATTCATTCACTCATTCTCTCACTCACTCGTATTTTCACTTCTCTCAGTGGTTCTTCTGGGCCAGACATGACTGAGGCTGCAGCTAACAGCACGGGAGGCCTTGCCCTCAAAGAGCCCACAGTCTAGTGGAGAAACACGTCCATGACAACTGACCACACAGTTTAATAAGAGTTAGCGCAGAGAGGCTCTTGAGCAGTGTGGAAGCCCAGAGATGCGGATAATTATCTGCCTACCAGGGGAGTGGGTGCGGGTGAGGGTCTTCTTCAAGGCGCTGGCACCAGAGCTGTCCTGAAGGACCGCTAGGGTTTGCACAGGCGGGGAAGATGGCACAGTATATGTGGGCAGAAGGAGCCCTGCAGTGGGGGTGAGGAAGATAGAAAGGTTGATGGGGAGGTAAATAGCTGAGCTGACCAATACATACCGTGCAGAGTTGGAAGGGATTTCTTAACTCGCAAGCACCTCTAGTGCACATATTACCTTGAAGAGTCTCCCACCCACCACCAACTTTCAAGAACTCTTCAGAAATGTTCTGCATAGAGGGGCGCTGTCCGAAGCAGCCAGGTAGCATTGCCTGCTGGGCCTTTATTGGTCGTCTTGTTCCTTACCTCCTGACTTGAAATGGGCCAGAAGTCAGAAACCCCAACATCCATCTGCTCCAAAGAAGACTACAGAGCCCCTACTCGTAGCTGACAGACAGACAGACAAACAGACAGAACAAACAACAAAGCCTAGTGGTGCAAAGCAGCCAGGCAGAGGGGGCAAGGCAGCAGCGTGCACATCCCGCTGCACACAGGCAGATCATCACCCCGGCTTCCTATCCCAGGCTTCACCTACAGGACAGCTCGGCTGCTCTTCTCTCCCTTCTCCGGGCCTGGGCAAGCTGAAGCTCCTGGAAGCCCAGCCAACAGTCCATACTGTCCACAAGCTTAGCTCTTAGCTACACTTGGAAGGCAAGTCTTGGATAGTTAGGCCAAAAATTGAAGCCTTAGAGGAGGCTTTGGGGAGACTCAGAGTGGAAAGAGAACAATGCATATGAGTCCAGAGACCTACAGAGCTCAACTAGATCTGAGGCCAAGGCAAGGCTGCAGTGGCCACTGGGCCCCGAGCTTCATGGCTGCTCATCGACACCTGGCTCAGGGCTGTTCATCCCATCTGACAGGTAGTCGTCCTCGCTCTGTTTCATCTTCGTCTCCAGGACTGTGATGCGCTGCTTGAGCTTCTGCTGGGCCCCCGTGTACTCAGCCAGCAGGCGGCCAAAGCGAGTGTACAAAGTCTCCATGTTTGTCTCCAGCTGCTCTAGCTTCTCCTGCACATCCACCTCCATGCTGGCTGCCACCTCACTCTCATCCAGCAGCCCCTCCTTCATCAGGATCTCCCGGCCCCTCTCCTCCAAGACTTTCTTGGCATCAGGGTACTCAGTCACCGCTTCCATAAGATCATCCTTGGACAAGCAGAAGAGGTCTGAGTAGCCCAGGCTGCGGATATTGGCCGTGCGCCGGTTGCCCATTTTGCTGCCCTTAATGTTAAGGATGCTGATCTCTCCAAAGCAGCTCCCAGCTGAGAGGAGGGCATACTGAGTCACTCCATCATCAGCCACCACTGCCAACTTGCCCTCTTTGATTATGTACATCTCCTTGCCAATGTCCCCCTTGCGGCAAATGTAATCCCCAGGGCTGAAGACCTGAGGACGAAGCTTCAGTACCAGCTCCACCAGCAGGCCAGCCTCGCAGTCCTGGAAGATCCGCACTTTCTTGAGTGTGGACAGGTGGACATTGATGGCTATCTCGGCCCTGAGCTTGGCTGGCAGGTTCTTGAGAACTTCCCGCTCATCCACTGACTTCTTATTGGTCCACAGGTAGTCAAACCACCTAATGACCTTGGCTTCCATCTCCTTACTAACCTTGCGGAACTGCATGTAGTGTTTCACAGCATCAATCTTGGCCTGAAACTCTGCCCTCGTAGCATTCATGTTGGAGATCATGGAGCCCACATTTCCCACGATGGTGGCAAAGATGAGGACACCGATCAGAAAGTCAAAGATGACAAATAAATACTCTTCATCCTTTACAGGGGGTGGTGTCTCCCCAATGGTGGTGAGGGTCAACGTAGACCAGTAAAGGCAATAGATGTACTCCCTAGCCAGGTAGCCATACTCAGGGTCAGTGATGTTGGGGTAAACCCAGGTGTCCACCCCAAAGCCAATGGACTTAGAGATGGCATAATAGATGCAAGCATTCCAGTGGATAATGACCAAAATATAGAGGACCAGGTTGCTGATGCGGAAGATGTTGGGGTAGCTGGTGCGTGTCTCCGTGCGGTCAAAGAACTCGAACATACGGGCAAAGTGTAGCAGGCGATTGAAGCGCACCTCAGGGCTATGGATTCCCACAGCAAAATAGATCAGGTCCGTGGGGATGATGGAAGCCACATCCAGCTTGAACTGCAGAGTGTGGATATAGTTGTCTCGCAGTTTCTTGCTATCTTTGACCAGCAGCCCCTGCTCTAGGAAACCTAGTAAACATACAAGCCAGTGTGTCATCTCTGAATCCGGGCCTGTCCCTCACTGCAGGCTCACGCTCATCAAAGACCAAACTGTTTCCTTAGGAACAAGGAAGACCCAAGGAATACCACAGCCCATATAGCAGGGCTGGCGAGAAAGACCCCGAGACCACCCCCTGATCCGAGCCTCTCTAAGCACATGAGACCATGAAATTCAAAGCAGATCAGTCACCTACTGGAGTCTCAGGCAAGGCAGTTCCTTGGAAATGTGGACTCAGGTCTTTGGACTTGCAGGGCATAGAGCTACCTATGTGTCCCAACTTCTCACCTGTGCGCAATCGGATGAAGAGGTCTGCGACGTAGACTACATCTGAGAAGTAGTCCAGCACCAGCCACACCAGGAAGTAGCCTCTCTGGAGGTCACTGAAGCAGGCTCTGCAGTAGAACAGGACTCACCTTCAATGTCTGCCAAGGTTTCCTGAAGGATCCAACTGGGTGCCTATTTGTTCAAGGCCTAAAATGGCCACCAGGGGCGCTAGCGAATCACAGTCAGCCTGGTGGTACAGACACTGACAAGTACCTTCTACCTCCACCCTTACCATCATGCAGAATTACTCCTGTGCATCACTGTTGCCTACCTCATCCACTAGACTGTGAGCTTCAGGAAGGCAGGAACCAGCTCTGGGTCGTTAGCACATGCCCCATGCCTAGCCCTGGGCACCAGGACTCAAGTGCTCAGTGGTGTCAGTTGAGAGAATGAATACACCATTGGATGAACAAACTATAGCTCATAGGTGCCCAGTCTCTATGCCCATCCCTTCAACATGTACGGAATGATTAAAACATATGATGTGAATGTTTAAATTTTAAAAATATATGCATTCTAGTGAAAGATGCATTGCCATGAATCCCTCTGCCTTCCAATACTCTTATCCCATTGTTCTTGCCGCTTCCCAAAGCAGTTCTGAAGCTCTGTTTCCTGAGTGTCTTTAGTTGCATGGTCCTCGCTGCCTCAATGTCTTGAATGGATTTGAAAATGTTCCTCTTTCATGGTCATTTAACTTTGGGGTAAAGCCAGACGTTTCATGGTGCCAGACTCGTAAATAAGGTGGGTGAGAACACAGTGTCATGTTTTTACAAGCCCTTCTTTCCATCGGATGGTGCTGGGCAGAAGCATGCACTGTGTTTTTATCATACCTCGCAAATACACTCAGGAAACAGGACTGCGGAACTGTTTCGGAAAGTGGCAACAATGATGGAATAAGTGTCTCCGAGGAAAGAGGGAGCATTTTGAGAGGGATTCATGGCAATGTGTCTTTGACTGTAATAATATTTTAAAATTTAAATATTCATCTCACACTTTAATCACCCCTTACATACCTGTGATCACCCAACACAGAACACCGGCCGAGGCAGGTGAAAGCATGCAGTGGCCAGGCTGGGCCCGAGGCAGTGGGAATGGAGAGCAGTTGGAGACAGCAGAGAAATGAACAGGACTTGGAGCTGAGTGGGTAGGGCCTAGGGTCCTGTGGTGAACCTAGGGCATGCATGCTGCAGCCAGCTGCTTTCAGTCATTGAAAACTCTAAATGGTTCACCAGCACTGGCCTAGGGAGAGGGTAAAGTAGGAGACAGAGCCCGGGATGGGATGTGGTGAATGCAATGCACAGTACCGGGAGGAACGGTCACATTTAGGGTCAAACTCCAACGGCTGTAGAACTAACAGTTCCTGCCACGCTGATAGCCCAGAACAGCCTTCAGACACCCTGGGCCAGCCCAACAGAAGGGCTTTGTACTTGTTACTTCTACCTGCAGTGATCCTTCTGCCAACCTTGTGCATCCAGATAGCTGACTTTCTCCCACCAAGTAGGCCTTGCCTCCTCAGAAGCCCTGGCTGCCATCTCTAGCAACTCCCTGCCACCAGACCCTGGAACCATCTTGCCATTTCCTTTGTTTCATGTTTGCAGTCCACGTTCTCCACTAGCCTTCAAGCTCCAGGAGAGCAGAGACCGTGCCTGTCCTGCTCGCCATGTTGTCCCCAGCACTGAGCACAGAGCCTAGCACACGGTAAGTGCTCCGTGAAGTGCTTGCTGAATAAATGACCAAGTTGAAGGGTGGAGTTGAGTGGGAATGCTACAGGGAGGCTGAAGGCCTTAAAGGGCCATCCTTGGGGCTTAAACTTCATTGGTGGGCAGTGAAAAGCCATGAAAGGGCTCTGAGGAGGGCGTGGGGAACTGAATCCACTTCTTCAACAAGTGTCTGTGTTGTGAGTGTGGTAGGTGCACTGGAGGGGCCTCGCATGGCCGCAAGGAAGGGCAGGGCTGCTGGAGCTGTCTCAGGGAGAGAGTAGAGCGGCCTCACCTAGGGCAGAGGTACATATATGAGGAGATAGGAGCAGGTTACAGGATGGGAAGAGGATAGACGTGAACAGCTGGTGGCATGTCAAGTAGTGGGGAGTGTTGGGGTTCGCAGGGAGGACAGAGGTGCCATTGGCAGCCAGGGAACTCAGGGAGAGGCTTGGGTTGCTGTGAACTGCGTGTTTACAGCTGGAAACACTCAAGTGTTCCTGAATCCTGGGGCCTGGGCACTGTGCTGGTTTGGCCACCCCCTCCAAGGTCCCTCTCTGCTCACCTGGCCACCAGCAGGCACCAGTTGTAGAGAACGGGCATGGCAATGACAAAGAGCCAGCGGTAGTACCAGTCTCCAGCAGGATCCAAGACAAATAGTTCAAATTTCTTCCTGAGGAGAAAAAAGGAGACCAGGTTCAGAACCAGGACCACCAGGCTAGCAACCCTCTGGTTCCCAGAGGCCAAAGAGTCCCTCAAAAGCACTACTTATGGGAACATGTGGAATGAGTGTAGGTTGGCTTAGGCTGCAGTTCCCAGGGACCCACAACCTGGAGCCAGGCAGGTGAAGGGTGAGGGACACACCTTTTCCCATTCTGAACACAGAGGGGACATCTGAACGCCCTTGTCTGGAAGGCATGTCAGGCGTTGAGCTTCCAGCAGGGGTGCCCGTTCCCACACCCCTCCCAGGAAGAGAGAGAAACCCCGGGCGAGTGAGTGTGCCCCATCCTCCCTTCTCAGTCCCTGACCTTCAGCCTCCAAATCACTTTCCCAGATGCTCTATCCTACCAAGGTGAGAGCCCTTTGCCCCCACTGACCAGTGCTGGTGAATGCTGGCTTGGTCAGGCACACACTCATCCCTCAAAGTAGAGACTCTCCAGTGCTGCCTTCTCTGCCCTCCCCCTTGTCCTGATCAATCATCTGGGCCTTTCCCATCAATCTCCTGCATGTCCTCTTCAAAGACCCACTTCCTTTTTCACGGGGGAAAGTACAGACGTGCCTCAACAGTACCCCCGAATGTACCCTCCTGCTGCATTTGCTAACTGCTGGACCTGGGACAAGAGGTGGTAGGCCCTTGCCCAAGGCCCCTCCCTGCCCACATTCACTTCATGAACTCTGGGAAGACATCTGGCACGGAAGCAACTAAGGTGAGAAAGGCCCGCAGAGGTTCCCATGGCATGTGGAACACTGACTGCTGTAAAGGCTGCGGTAAGGACAGTGGAAATGTTCTGGAGTTGAAAACAGCAGGTATCTCTCTACTGTGACAGGGCTTGGCATGGTCCCTGATCGGCCCCTGGCAGTAGCATCGGAAGCCCCATGCAGCTTTCCTATTGCATGCTTGGGAGCCCTTGAGCCGCAGTGGCTGGACAACTGTACTTGATGGCCTTTCCCTCGCTGTCCTTGTCGCCTTTGCCGTCTCCCTGCTGTGTCGTCACAGTCTGGAGCTCAGGTCCACGGAAACGCTCAAGGAAGGAGTCAGGCCTAGGTTCCTCCTCACGGAAATTCCTGTTGGCCCAATCTCTTATAACTCCCACCAAGCGTACAATCCTAGAGGAGAGAAAGAGAACAAATGAGCCCGAAAGGAGACCATTGTTGTTCTGAAAGGACTTGCCCCTGAGAGTTTGTTGTCTGGTGAGGGACACAGAAGATGAAGAAGGAAAGCAGAAACAGGTCGGGCCCTCATTTCCTACTTTCTAAGAGCTGGGGTAGAGGCCAGCATTGAGGGCAGGGGCTGGGACTCAGGCAAGACCAGGAACGCATTCTAGGGGTCAGGGGCTAGGAAGATATTTTGTAAAAGGCACCATCTCAGTTGAATGTGAAGAGTAAACAAGTCTTCAAGGCATGGGGCCACCTTGGTAGACCCCCTCAGCTGTGAAGAATACCTCTTGCCAATGCCAAGACAGCTGGCCACTCCCAGCTTGCCTCACAGGAGCCTTGGAGTTGCTCAGGCCTCTCGGGTCTTACAGAAAGGCCTAGTAGGGCTGAGAGGAGGGCCACAGTGTCCTACTTGACAGAAGGGTGGGCAGCAGGTTAGTGGAGGAATTCACCTTCGGAAGCCACCCCTCCCCCTCCGTGGGGTCTCCATGTCCGCCAGCCTCTGCAGTTCTGAGGAAGTGTCATCTTCGGCTGAGGACTGTGGCCTGCAGAGAAAGGAACAGATTTGTTGGGTGTAGTGGTGCACACCTATAATCCCATCTCTCTGGGAGTTTAATTCAAGAAGGTCACAAGTTCAAACCCAACCTGGGGAATTTAGGGACTGAATAAGACCTTACTTCAAAATTTAAAAAATAAGTAAAACAGGGCTGGGAACGTAGCTCAGTGTGAAGTTCCTGGGTTCATTCCCCAGTACCATACACAAAAACAGGAGCAGATATGATCCAGTGTTCTCTGGGCGTGACTTTTCTCACCCCCAGCACATGACTAGACCCTTCATTGTCTCATTAGGAAAGTTTCTAGAGCCCAAGAGCCTGCTCTAGGACAACAAGGCAACCTGAGAGGGGCAACAGCCTCTGAGCCACCCTTGAAACCACACTGCCTCAGCAGACTCACCTGCTGCTGGTCCTGTGGGCATCTTTGCCATTGGCCTTGATGGCAGGGGGTGCGTGATGGTTGCGGTTATTGGCTGGGGAGCTCTTCACACCATTGGATTTTTCTGTCATCCTCCATGTACAGCTGGGACTCACCTGCCAGGGAAACAATGCGGGAGGTCACAGAGTACCCTGGTATCCTTAGAGGGCAGGGCTACTGGCAAGAAGGGTGAGAAAGAAACCAAGGCCCAGCTGGCTTTGATAGTTCATGTGTCCCAAAGTTTACGTGAGTGAAGGAAACAAAACCACATCTTGTAGCTTAGCACTGTCTTCTTGTGCAATGCATCAGAGTGGGAGGACTTCAGTCATCTTCTTGGCCTTTGGAACCTGGCACTGAGGTGAAGCTGAGCCCTACTCTCCCTGGCAGGACCCAGGGGTGCTGAGGTTTGTCTCCACATTGAGGAATTGAGCAGAGGAGGAGTGCACAAAACAGGAAGGAGGAAGCAGCCCAGGAGGGAATAATCAAGACAGGTGGGACCTTGCATCCCACAGTAGTTCTTGCTGCAGAGTCAGAAACCTGGGACGGCAGATACTCAGAGCGGCTGATTCCTGCTTGGGCTGGTCAGGTACCTCAGCAGACGTGAACAGCAGTGGTCATCAGGGCTCCCCGAATTTCCCAGGGCTCCTACTGCTTCAGGGTCCATAGCCCTAAAGCTGCTCCTGGCATCCACCCCACCTAGCTTGTTCCACCTCCTGAAACTGTCACCATGGTGACAGCAGGCATGTCAAGCAACGTCAGAGATGCTCGTCTGGTGCTCTCTGTGGGACTATGGCACCAGGACGCTAATGAGGGCACCTGAGGGAAAGGGACTGGCATCTGTGAGTCTCTGCTGGGACCCTGGAGGCAGCAGACCATGGAGACCGAAAGTTCCAGGCAATACAAACAAAGCCAGAGACATGCACACTGATCACACTGATCGGTTCTCTCACTGGCCTCTGGGAAAAGGTGGTGTTGAAAACCAAGCTTGCAGATAGAAAGGAGGATGAAACACAGGGCCTGGCCAGCTCTGGGGACACATCACACACTTATACCCTCTCTGGGCATCTGCCTCTGTGTGAGGACCGTGCCCCTCCCTGCAGACAGCCCCCCCAAGACTGGCTTCCTGATAGGCAACAAGGGCAGACAGATGGCCCCTGCCTCCCCTAGCCAGCGTTAGCCCTACTACTTTAGGGTTCATAGCCCTAAAGCTGCCCCTGGCATCCACCATGGATGTCACCATGGGACCTCCAAGCCTGCAACAGTGGACTAGGACCAGCCTGGCATCCCCTGGGGTCTGAACTGGAGGGGTTCATGGACACCATAGAGGTGTATGAGAGGGCTGAAGCTCCCGGGGAGAAATGAGCCCATCCTCCGTGTCATGAGAGCAGAGAAGAAGACCGAGGGCAGAGCTCTGACAAACTACAACCATGACAGATAGCCTCTGTTGCTGAGTAAGTGGAGGAGACTGAGGAGGAGAAGACGAGGGGTGTGAGAAGCAGGATGCGCCTGGGAGAGGGCGGATGTCAGGAAGGGAGTAGTCTGCTGGGACCTTGTCTGCCACACTCCCGTATCAGGAAGATAAAGGCAGCCTGGGGAGACCTGTATTGTCCTCTGAGATGATAGCAGACATGGGCCACTGGGTGGGATGACAGGGGCCTCCCTGGCAGCCTTATCTCCAGCAGCGCTGGGGAGGCTTGGTGATAAGAGGGTCTAGGAGTCAGGAATGGGATGTGAGGGGCAAGAGATAAAGCGTAGCTAGTTCTCTCCAGCAGCTGGACTGAGAATGGGCAGAGAGAGTGGGAACAGAGGAGGACGTGAGGTTGGGAACATTTCTCTGTGTTGCTATTGTTATTAGTTTACATCAAGGAGATTTTAAAAAAAAGCAAATTAAAAGGGTGTGAGATGTAACAGAAAATGAAAATATGTGTGCTTTGGCCCAACCCGCATTGAGGCCAGAGCCCAGGCAAGGTGAGTGTGAGGACTGGATTCAGGTATCAGAGGATGTGAGCGAAGACTTCTCGAGATCACAGGGAGAGGCTATTGAGGAACAGACCCATAGGGAAGGACATGACAGACCTTTTAGATGCAGGTGGGGGGTACAGTGAGACACCGCTGAAGCCTTAGTGAAATGAGGAGTTCCAACTTCAGAAGTACCAGGCTGCAGTACATACAGGTTTTGGTGGAGGCCAGAGGGTTCTCAATGGCTGCTAGGGGTGACGGACAGGGGAAACACGATGAGTGTGAGGACAAAACCCAGCTTGGTCAGAAAGACACCAGGCCGTGCCGCTGCCGCAGAGAACAGAGTATGCGCAGAGAGGTTCGGGCTAGAGAGAAGGAACAAGCGGCCATACTACCAAGACTCAGCGGTCCAGTCCACAGTCAGCTCACGCACACACTGCCGCCGTCGCTCCTCCATTTGCTCATCGAATCCAGGCACGACCTGGAGACGCCTGCCGTGTGCCAGGTCCTGCGCTAGGTGCTGAGGCCGCAGACATGAGCCTGGCAGGCTCTCTCACCTCAGCATTGCGCCCAGGTTAAAGGAGGGAACAGCCAGGAGCACAGTCCGTGCGTAAAGTCACTTCCCCACTGATGTTCTGTTGTGTTTCTCAGCAGCGCCTGACAGCGATTTCACTGCACCCCAGAAACAAGATCCAAGAATGATTTCAGAAATATAAAAATACCCAGCATCCGCTAAGGTAAGATTCACAAGGTGTGGTATCTGCTCTGAAGTTACCAGACTCCCACATAATTTCTCCATAATGACGAGGAAGCACTCTATAAATTGAAACAAACCCAGACTTGGCAGGAATGTAGAATTAGCAGAGAAGATATCAAAAGTTAATATACCACTGTAGTTCATACGTTCAAGAAGTTTGGTTGCAATACTTCTGTTAATGTTTCCCTCCTTTTATCCTTAAAATAAAAAAAATAAATAAATAAATAAAAAAAAGAAGTTTGGTTGGCGCATAGAATATATTAAAAGACCCAAGTCGATCTTCTAGAGATGAAAACTATAATTTGTGAGATGACAAATTAACTACAGCCATCCCTCAGTATCTCTCAAGATCCTAGTGTACATAATCTTCAAGCACTTATATAAATTGGCAGAAGGGAATATTTGCATATCACCTATGCATCCGCCCACATTTTATCATCTCTGGCTTACTTATAACATCTAATGCAATATAAATGTTGTGTCACTGGCTGTTATACTGTGTTGTCTAGGGGATAATAACAAGAAGAAAAGTCTAAATGTTCAGTGCAGGTGCAATTTTTAAGAAGATTTTCAGTTCATAGTTGGTTGAATTGCAGAGCCACGAGTATTAAGGACATACTGTATCTGGGACTAATTGGAGATCAGATACTGTAGAAGAGATTAGTGAACTTACAGACAATACAATAAAAGTTTCCAAAATGCAACCCCAAAAAAAGAATCGGAAAAAGGCATCAGTAAGCAGTGGGATAGGTTCCGTGGAGTGATGCAGGTGTAATCATGTTCCCGAAGGACAGGGAGGAAAAGTGATGTTTGAAAACCTAACCAGAATATTTTCTAACTTATGTATATCTGTTTATGTTTACATTTACATCACCACGGATGGGAGATGCTCAGTGGCACCCAAATAGTTGCACATGTGTGCACACATGCCCACGCAGAAACACACACACACACACACACACACACACACATGAAAACTATACCAAGACAAATCATAATGAAACTTCCCACACCCAATTTCCACACCCAATTTTAAGAGTTTCCAATGGGAAACTCTTAAAAATTGCCAGTGAAATAAGACACTTTATCACTGAGTCATGAAAGTAAGGCTGGCACTGCCTGCCCAGTGACAAAGGTAAGGACAATAGCAAGACCTCCCTGCTAAGCTTAGACTTTCTTTCCAACTTCCAACTGGACATTTCTCTCTGGTTGCCCTTGGAAACCTGCTTGTCTTGTCCCATGTCACACTGGGACCACCGTTATTCTTTTGATAGACATCTGTGACTGAGCAAGATTTCCAGCCCTCAGCTGCTAGCCTTCAGATATGTTGGTCCCCAAAGTTCTGCAGAGAGCTGCCTAAGTTTCACTCTCCCTATCTGCAGCATCCTGAGGTTTCCAAGGAAAAGTTTCCAAAGTCCTACGTGAAGCTTGTATCCAGGACTCCACTACCCTTCTTGTCACAGTTCCCTGCACTCGACTGCGCCCTGTCCGAGGGCCGGTGTCAGAGTCCGCACTGTTGAACACTGAATACCCAGGGCTGAAGAGGCTCCTGGGAAGCATCACAAATGTGTGGGTGGAAGAAAGGAAGAAAGAAGGCAAGAAGGGTGGAGGGTGGGGGGAATGGAAGGAGTGGGAAAGAAGAGGAAGAGAGGGAGGACAGGAGAGAGGAACACATAAAGATTCGAACTTGGTGAGGTTATGCAGAATCTCAGAAGACAGTTCACAAAAGGAGACTTCAGAGGCTGAGGCGAGGTTGGGGGGACTAGCAGCTGTCGGCCTCCTAAAGGGTATGTGAAACCTTCTAGGTGACCAGATGTCCCAGGTTCTTGTACAACCAAGGCTGTTCTGACTTCAGGTTCAACTTAAAGCCAGGCCAAGCCAGAGTTCCCACCATGTGTGTGCAGGGATCTTCTCCATGATTGACAGCCTGGAGGAGTGATTTTCAATTCTGAGTTTATCCCCATAAATTCTCCTATCCACACTGAGAAGCTCCTCCTGAGCTCTCCATCCTTGGGAACCCATAAACTATCTCTAGCTGTTGGAGGTGGCTGCTACCTAGACCCCAACTGACATGACCTTTTGCCCTATGCCAAACCCCGAGCACCACAGTGTCTTATCCTGAGAAAGGGACATCTTTCCCCACATATGCTCACTCAGAACTTAGCAATCAGAATCATCTAGGAGGGAGTGATGGCACATGCTTATAATCCTGGCACTCTGGGAGGCTGAGGCAGGAAGATTGCAAGCTTGAGCTCAGCCTGGGAAATTCAACCACTTAGAAAGACCCTGTCTCAAAATAAAATGACTGGAGATTTAGGTCAGGGCCACAGCTCTGGGTTCAATTACCAGTACTGGAAAACAAAAAAGAAAAGAAAAGAAACTTAGGCATCATTCTTGATAACTTCCACCTAGTCTACAAATCTCGCTATTGTACTGCTGAATTCTCTCTCCTGCACTTTACCCATCTAGCCAAGCTTGCACTCTCCTCTCTCTGCCAAGAGGTGCTAAGGGGTAGCTGGAGGGGTCCCGCTGTGGGGAAGGAGGGGCCCTACACCCTTCCACTGGCAAGAGGTATAGAGAGGAGGCATTCTTCTATGACTACAGTCTTGTGTGGACAGGGTCTGTGCATGCTGCTGGAGACTCAAACTGGAAACCAGAACAGAGTGTGGGGCCCTCAGCAGCCCTGAGCATCGGCCAGGCCTGCTATCTGGCTCCAGAATCTTCCGTCAGCCAGGCGCTCCCAGGGCTTAGCTGCTAAAAGGGTTTGCCCGAATCCTGCTCCCCTAAGGGGTCTCCTGAGGAGGCTGGAGAGCCTTTGAAGGGCCAAAAGCAAAAGCTGTGACGCCAGAAGGGTTTCTGGGAGAAGCACCACAGAGCCTGCAGGCTCCCCCCTGGGGCATCTTCCCCTGGAGGGAGCCGAGGAGCTGTGAGTGGCACACCCCATGGCCGAGCTAGGCCCGCTGGGCTGCGGTCAGGCAGGCAGAGGACACAAGTGCAGGGCAAAGGCCCACAGGCCCCCCTGTCTTCTCTATGGAACCAGGCCTAAACAGGCAGCCCCTCAAGCCTTCTGCTCCAAGCCATCTCCAACCACCCTCCCCCTCATCTTCCTGAGAGGTGACAAAGGCTCAGGTACCTTGGGGCAAGCCTAATGTGGCACTCACAGCTACTGCACTCCTAAAGCCTCCCGGATTTCACTTCATTGCTCTGACAGGGGACAAAGTTCCCCCAGGCAGCCATTTTCCTCAGCCCCTGGGCTGGCTATACACACAAGGGCCAGTGCCAACCCCGGCCTGCGACCCACACCCTTCCTTAGGCTCCAGCCCCAACCCCCATGGAGGTCACCAGCCTGAGGCCACAGGAAGGTGTCAGCCCCACGCCAGCCCCTTCCCTCACCAATCAGATGGCTTCAGTCAACATCCAGTGGTCCATCCACACTGCCTCCAGTCAGATGCTCGCCCTTGAAGGATCATGAGCTCCTGAAGCCAAGGGAGACCTCCTGTTTTCCTGCCGAGGGCCAGTGGGGCTCTGGACCTGGCAACAATGCAGCTGGCAGCCTTGCAGTCAGGGACTGTCCTATCCAGCCTGATGCTAGCGGTGGAGGCCAACAGAGGCCCAGAGCAGCCCAAGCCCACAGCTTAGTCGAGCTCAAGACTGGCCCAGGGTGCCTCCTGCCCCCTGGAGAAGCCTTCCTGCCAGGGGGCCCTGCACACCCCGGGCTGTCAGTGGGCAACGGAGTGCAAAGGCTGGATGCTGGCTGCCTGCTGTGGAGCCTGCTTGTCAGCCTAGACCCAGGAGCTGGCCCCTCCCAGGCTCCCCAGGGGACACTCCCTCACCTAGAGTGTGCTCAGGGCTTTGTATCTGGAGACTGCCAGCTCACACACAGCCTCCGTGCACCTGCCGGGAGGTGCTCACACAGGCCCAGCCAGCCCATCTGACTGGAAGCCAAAGGAGAGCCAAGAGAAGCGAGGGGTGTGGCTGGACTGAGGAGGAATCCATTCTCTCCCTCCAAGATCCCCTAGAACTTGGCCTCCCAAAGGGGCTGGGCCAGGGAAGGGGATGGATCAAGGGCTCCAAGGCAGTAGGCCGTTGACTGCTTTTCAAGAGGCCAGGATTTCAGGCTGTCCATGGGTACACCAGAGCCTCTCCCCACATATCCTGTCCCTTTCTCACAGTCCCTGTTCACTGTCCACCTTCTCCAGCTGTAAGAAAGTCATGTGGACACAGAAGCACTGGAAGATTAAGTTTCAACTTTTGCCCACGGCTGGTGGAGACCGCAAGCCAGGCAGGCAGAGTGTGAACCGGGGCTTACACTTTCTGCACCTGCACAGAGGGCTCCAAAGATGAGTGTGGAGTTATCTCTGCACAGGGGCTTGACACTGGGGGGCCGGGGTCATGTTAGCTACGGCTTGCCTGCTTTTAGGAGACTGCACTCATGCATAACACATATAATTAACAATTTGTAAGATGCAACGTGCGTGACATGAAGTACATACACCATGGAAAGCGGTGGTCAGAACTGACTTCTTTTGATGGGGAAGGTATTTTTGTAGAAAGCACACCCTAAAAGCCAGAGGGGTATAACCTGGCCAGAGGTTGCCCTCGGGAGTATCTGAGGCCTTCTTATGGGGTGAGCAGTGTGAGGGAAAGTACGGCTAAGAACTGCCCCCCAGCCCTGCCAACCGGGAGCCAGCCAAGAACCCACACGCGCAGGGCAGGCTCCCCAGCTCCAGCTCCAAGCTGTTACTCCAGGGGGGCCATGCTGTTTGTTTGCAACTCAGCTAAATTGCTCCCGGGGGGACCTTTGTTTCACAACATATTTCCAACCATACTTTTTCTGCAAACATGTCCGAGTCTGCACAAGTACACGCCACACCCAAGCCCCAGGGGGCAGACCTGGCTCTGCTCCTCTGACCCTTGATGCCCCTCTGCCTCTTGGGCCCTAGTCTGTCCTGAGGCTGCAGAGAGCTGAGGACTGGTCTGTGAAAAGAGCCCCCAGCCTTGCTCCTAGGCCTCTTGGGATTCCTGGGTTTCTGGGGCCCATCTGGAGGGGCTGGAATGCTCCTGACCCTCTTATACCTATGTGCTGCCATCTCCCTCTTCTCCGAAGGGGCTTCCACTAGCGTCCCATTGCCCTCTCTGCTCTCGAGCTGAACAGACAACTGTCTGTTTACTCAGAGTCATCCTTTCAGCTTTCAACCAGGCCGAAGCTCTGGGGCACAAGCGTGGTGCCCCGGGGGCTGATAGGGGGCATGTATCTTGTTCCAGAGGGGCTGCAGTCCCCAGAGTGTCTGGAGTAGAGGAGCCCAATCGTGGTCCAGGGTTCGGCTGAGGACCAGAGAGGGCCGGGCACTACAGAACAGGCTCCGGCCTCAAGCCTCTTCTCTCCTGCACTGCATTCTCTCCTTTGCTTCCTTTGTCTCTCCTTCTCCTCCTCTTTCTCTGTCTCCCCCCCCTTACTCCTTCTCCCTCCCGCTCTGTTGCTCTTTTCTCCTCTCCTTGCCCCTGTGCACAGATGTTTCTGTTTACTTCATATCTAATGCCACACACTCCCACCTTGTAGATGAAGGAGTCTTGGCAGATTTGGGAGACGGAGAGACTTAGCCACAAAACCAATGAGAAAGTTCCAGGATCCCACGTGTTACGGTTTAGATCTAAAATAGACCCCCACAGTCTGATGTATTTGGGAGGTGGTTGGAACATGGAGGCGCCCTGCCCATCAGGGACTCATCCAGGGATGAGTTCATAGCTGAAATGTGCTGTGAGGAAGTGGGACCTTGCTGGAGGTGGTCACTGGGATGTGACCTGGGAGAGTGGATTCTTGACCGTAGCTCCTCCTTTGTTGCTCTGCTTTCCGGCTGCCGTAGGCTAAGCAGCTGTTCTCTGCCTCACCTTTCCACCCTGCTCTTTCTACCATGGACTGAACCTAGTGGAAACTTTGAGCCAAAACAAAACTCTTTCTTTAAATTGTGAGTATCAAGCATTGTGCCCCAGTGACAGCCAAATGACTAATGTGCCACCCCAGACAGATGTGGACTGGTCTCTTGGTCCCAGGAAATCAATAGCAGCTCTTCCACAGGTCTGCAAAGACCTGACACCCCCACCCTGCCATTGGTCCTGCCTGCGGTGCACTTCATGGGGCTGTTTTAAGATACGAAACTTCCAGGACATGTTTTTCTCCTCTGTGGAGCTCAGTTTCCTCCCACACAAGTGGAACAGTTTCTGGTTCCTCTCCTTGAGTCCGTGCAGCATTTGGCCCACCACACCCTGCAGAACTGTGTCCTCACGAGCAGTCATTGGTGAGAAGTCACCAAAGGAGCCCTCTGCCTGGGCTGGGAACGGTGAGGGTCAGGTGGGTGAGGGAAGTGAGGGCACCACAGCTCCTGGAGTGAGAGTGGCAGCGTGATCACAGCCGCCCCACCAGGCCTTTGACCCCCACCACACTCTCAGTGAGCTTCAGCCACTGCTGTCACTTAGCTTTTATTGAGCGTGTTCAGAGCCCTGTGCACAGTGTGGAAGCAAATGGGGAAAGGAAGCCAAAAGCAAAGCAGGGGATGGAGCAGAAGGAAAGCTGGGGCCCCAGAGGCCTGCTGCTGGTGTCACTGTGGGGGCGAGGTGCTGCTGTCTTCTCCCTCCAAAAGACTTCTGCGCCACCAGCCTCCTCTCAAGCACAGGGGCTGAGCAGCGTTGAAAAATTGCCCAATGCTGCCTGGGAGCTGGGAATGGGGTCCCCAAGAGAAGCCCTGGAGCAGAGGGCAGAGGAAAGGGAGGGTGGAGGGTGGGCTCAGGCCAGGGGGAGCCTCAGCGTCACTGGCGCATCCACAGCCACAGGTTGGTGAGGCAAGCCGTCAACACCGCGGTGAACAGTACCGCCTCCTTGAAGCGCCAGGAGGAATCCTGATCCTCGAGGACACACAGACGCTCCGTGACCAAAAGCAGCTGTGGAGGGACTAGAGTCAGGGCTGGGGAGCAGGGCTCTTCCTGGGGGCCCAAGGCACACGGATGAGGGAAGGTATGACAATAGAGCAAGGAAGGCTTTGCTGTCCTTTAGAGGGCCAGGGTGTCCCTCGTATGGGTCCAGGGGGTCCAAGGTCTGGCCTCCCTGTCCCTTCCTTAGTGCTATTCCAGCCCATCCCAGCTGCTGCAGGGGACAGAAGTGACACAGGAACAAAGAGAGTTGTTTGGCCTGGGACTGACTCCCTTCCAGCATGTCGGGGACAGAGGGAGGATGGAGGGTGGGCACTGAGGGAGGTGCCAGAGCCACCGAGCCTGACCCCCCCTCTGACGCCAGGGGCTGAGATCATTGCACAGACTGCAGACTCAAGGGCACAGTCTCACTCATGCGCACCCAGCTCCAGAGGCCGGCGCCAGCGTGCTCACCTGTCTTCTTATGATTTCCAGCTCCAGTCCATTGAGCTCATCCGGGTCAGTCTCTGTCAGCAGATCTATCCCCAGGTTTCTGGATGAAGGAAAAACCAAAGGATCATAGCTGCTGGTGGCCCCAGGCAGGGCCCGGCAGAGAGCAAAGCGACCTGGGCAAGCAGGGTAAGACCAGGGCTTCTCCGACAGTGATTCTGACAGCCTGTGGTCTTTCCTGTCCCTGATAAACAGGGACTGGGGCTTAAGAGTAGGAAGCTAGCCAGGCCAAGCCTGAAACAGAATACCTGGAGGTCCCAAGTGGCCAGGAGGCAACAACCCCAATACTCCAAGGACCCCCGACTCCTTCCCAAGCAAGCTGCTCACCACCCCGTAAGCCCCAAGCAGCCAAGCCTCAAGGTACTCTGGCTCTTACTGATCACGATGGTCTTGGAAGATGCCAGGATACTCCTGGAAAAAGCCACTGTGGCCTGGCTCTCTGGAAATCCTGGACACCTGCTGCTGGTGCTCCTACAGAAAGGAAGGGGCACTCTAAACCACCTGCTTGGCCCCGCCTAAGTGGTTTCCTCACATGGTGTCCAGAACCGATGGTGGATCCCACGGTGCACCCCAGTCACGCGGTGCTTGACCCTCTGGAATCAAGGGCTGACGGCTTGAGACCACTAGAAAAGCCCAGGAACCCCACAGGTGTGCTGCCAGCCACTGCCCCCACCCTCACCATGCTCTCAGGAGTCCCTGCCCTTGCAGGCTGTGGTGAGGGACAAGCAGTGACAAAGGGTCCTGTAACCTGCCAGAACTTTCACTAACAGATATCGCCTGAAAGTCCAAGCAAGCTACTGGAAAAGAACTCAAGAGCTCCCTTGGCATATGTGTATGGAGCACTTTGCCCAGTAGAATGGGATTCTTATGTATTGAAAAGATATATTACAAAAAAATTAATTTAAAAACTCTGCAGTTGCATGATTCCACTCAGAGCCTGAACTGGAGCAGCTCGGTCTGGCTTCAGTCTTTGGACACAGGAAGTCAATTCAATAGTTCTAATTTATTTTTATTCCCAAGAGGTCATTGACCTCAAAGGGCTTTTCCTTATTCATTGGGATAGAATCATTTCAGCATTTACTATAATCCATAAAGTCACATTGCCCTTCCTCTGCAACCTTGGTGCCATTTCCCAGTAACTTTGTCAACTGTATAATTGGTATTTTCCCATAATTTCCCTCACCCACAAGACTGCAGCTAAAAGGATTGGTCACAGAAGTGGAGGACTCAGGAGGTTCCCAGAGCACTCGGCTTTCTCTTCTTCCCCATCCTTGTTGCCTTTTCCCAGTAATCTTTGCAATAATAATAATCAATTTCCTGAACACTCACTCGAGGTGTTTAAAGAATCAACTAAGAAACATGAGGCTCATGTGAGTCTTTATAATAGGCAGGTCTCCTTCTGAGGGCCAGCTTTATATATACTCCCTAAACAATATATGTTTCAGAAGTTCTGGACTCCCAGTGTTGAACTCCTAGCATGCCAAAGAATGGCTCTCCTTTCACTAGACCACCCCACTGCTTGCCCTCATTTGCCTGCTTGGCACACAGAGGTTTCTGCTCTTCCTGATCAATGTCTGGCCCCACTTGACTTACCATGGTTGGGGAAGAGCCCCTACAACTAGTACTTCCTACCCCACACCCCCATCGGCGTGTGCCAAAGACCCCAGACAGTACCATTTTCCTGGCCTTGCGGGGATTCACATTCCAAGCTGACTTGGGTAAAATGGAGACAGTAGCCTTTGTTTCTGTCTTCTGACGCCTCTGGGAGACAGCCCCGGACCGGGATGCATGATCCAGTACATCTGAAGAGAAGAACAGAGACCCCAGGAACACACGCAAAAGTTGTACCAGAGCCTCCAGGGCACAAGACATACCAGATACAAGACAGGGTCCCCAAACTGCTTAGGAATCATTCGGTGAGCATTGACCACTGCAGATCCCAGGTCTGTTTGTTCATCTGTTTAGAAGTTTAGTAAGTATTTACTGAAGACCAAGTCCTGGCCTTGGTTACTGGAGGGAATGAACAACAACCAAGAGACAAGATCCCAGCTATGAAGGAATCGACAGTGCTTGTGTACAAAGGGAATGGGAAGCAGAAAATAGAAACTAGTCCTTCAGTGCAAACTCACAAGAAGTGCTCCCAGAATTACAAAGACAGGGTGATATGGTGGAAAGGAACAACTGCTTCTGGAAAAGGAGGAGCCAACACGGAGGTGGAGACATGAGGAAGACCCAGGGTTCCCTCTTGGAGATCTAGAGGAGCAGCAGGCACAAAGGCTGTAGAGAGAAGCACACTTAGACTGTTGTGAGAATGAACATAACTATCGCGTGGAGTTTCTGTGTATGTCATAGCATAAAATACATGGAGGAGGTGGACCTGATAGGGTCTTGCCGATCACGGAATGTGGGTGTGACTCCAAAGGGCTAGAGAAAACATGAGAGGGTTGGGAGAGAGGATCGACTGATTCTATACACCGAGCCCTCCAAATGTTTTGCAGTAGGCACAGTGCTGGCTGAGAGGAGGAGGAGAGAGGAGCCACAGATATTATACCCACCTACCTCCCACTTGGGCTACAAACTGCTCACATCCTCTATCCCTCCCGACTCCCCTGCCACCCAACAAATAGATACTCCAAGGCCCAGACACATTCCCACAAGGACAATGCATGCAGACACGCACGTGTATACATGCGAGGGTCGTGCCTTCCCTAACATACACATGCACGCGTGTAGACAGAGGTCTGCGTGCTTGGCCAGAGCCAAGGGACATTTTAGGGATCCTCACCGGCTATCATCAGGTGATCTTGGCCTCTCCCAGGGCTTCCACGCACCAGTTCTTCATTGATGCACCTTTCTGTCTCCTCCTTAGTGCTGGGGGGGCCTGCTGCCATCACTGCCAGTTGCTCAGCTGGATGGTTCGGCTGAGAATGTACGAGGTGCCAGGAGCAGAGGAGGCACTCGCACCGTCTCCTCTGCAGTGGTAGGAGTGAGAAGAAGATATACCCAGTTGCGGAGGTGGGGCCAAACTCTCCCTGGGCTCAGGCCTTGGACTCAGCACCTCCTGTTCCTGCTGTATCTACTTGGCTGGAACAGTGGCCTTCTCCCCTGCTGCTCTGTAAGCAAATAAGAGAAAAAGATACAAGGCCAAGCCTTTGCCCATGAGAATCGCCATGGCTCACAATCCCTCCTTTGATTGAGTTGGGCAGAGGGCAAATGGAGACCACCTCCATCACTTCTAGGGAGAGGCGGAGACTGGTCCAGAGCCTAAGTCAGTGACCAAAGCAGGGTCAGGTCCCGGGCCGATGTCTGCAAAGCCCAGCTCTGGCCCATAATCCTGGCCACACCATCCATCAAAGGGTTTCTTTATAGAGCACATCCTGCCTCTTCCAGGCCCAAGCAGAGGAGCTGGCCCCATCCTTATCTGAGGCAGCTTGTCAGAGAAAACATGGGAACCAAGGGAGGGCAGGACAAGACAGGAAGGACCTGCTGCAGCCACTGGAGCCTCTTGAACTTGGGCCCTGCACTCCCTGGCTTAGGTCTCAACTCCCTCTCAGCTTCACTCAGTTGACCACTGAGAGGATCAGGCTCATGTGTCAGCTTGGCCAGGCTCTAGCGCCCCGTAAGCCCCAGAAACACGAGTGTAGGAGGTGCTGTGGCAGTATTCTGTAGCTGTGGTTTGCGTGGACATCCAGTGGACTCTGAGTGAAACCCCTCCCCCTCAACGAGGCAGTGGGCCTCCACCACAGAAGCCTTAAAAGCAACGGCTGAGGGTTCCCTGAGGAAGGGGAATTTCTACCTCAGGACTGCACTGTCAACTCCTGCCTGAGTTTCCAGCCTGCCAGTCTGCACTCCACCTTCAGGCGCATAGTCGTGTCTCTCCACATGTTTATGGCATGTCCAGACACATAGGAAATCTACGGTGAATGTCTAAATACATAAAACATGTTCTTCAGTAAAAGACACTTCGCTACTACTTGCCCCCAGTATTCACTCTCTCCTCCACGACCCTTATTTAGCATTCTTGCCACTTTCTGAAGCGTTCTGGAAGTCTCCATTCCTAAGAGTGATCATTCATTGCTGCTGTCAAGTGCCATTCAACCAAAAGGCAAGCTGGGGAAGCATCACAGTGCCCTCAACCATGCCTCAAGCCTGGCCCCATGCAATCTGGCTCTTCCCCAAAGTAAACATGACCACGAACGGAAAATTCTGGACATGGAGGCAGACAGGACAGAGCATCTGAGGACACCCTATAAAGAGGACTTCCAGAACTGTTTTAGAGAGTGGCAAGGATGACAGGATAAGTGTGTTTGACGCCAGGGGTAGTGTGTTGAGGGGATTCATGGTGCTGTGTCTTTTACTGTATTTATTTATTTATTTATTTATTTATTTGCTTTAAAAATTCATGGCAGATTTGGATTACACTCATACACACATACGTCTTGTTGGTTCTGTTACTCCAGAGAATCTGATGCAACTGTCAGTGCTCCAGGGTGGTTCTGGGGCAGAGTCCCAGGGCTGCCAGGGGGAGAGGAGGCTGTCTGCAAAGGAAACCAAGCACAGGGGGAGCCAGGTGGGAGAAGGAGGTGGGGAGGAAGAGGGCAGAAAAAGAAGAAGGGAAGAAAGGAGGGGACAGAGAAAAGGAGAAGAAAGGGAGGGGGGACTAGCTGAGAGAAGGTGTCCTCCTGCGGCTGCCTGCCTGACCCCCAGCCCTCTGGCCAAAAGCAGAGCACACGGGCCTTTCTGCCTTCCCAGGGCTGAAAGAAGCTCTTCCTTTCTCAGATCTGGTGAAACAGATCATTTTTAATGTCAGTATTATGCTCCATGCAACATTTGAGATACACTAAAAATTATTCATGGCTTATCTCGCACCCAAATGTAACCAGATAGGCTATATTTTATCTTGCAGCCCTATGTTTTGCCCATCCACCCCAGGACCTCAGATTTGGCCTTGGACGTGTCCTTCCCTTCTTTGGGCCTCAGTCTCTGATGGACAATAGAGTTTACAGTCTCCCTGCTAATGCAGTGGGTGGATTGGGAGGAGCAGCGCTCAGAAGTCAGTACAGCAGAACAGTGCTGGTGCTGGCACGCCTCCGGGACTTGAGGTACTGATCCCAGAGCAGCTTCCTGTCTGGCTGCTGAGGGGCCTTGACCCACGGGGGCTTCCTGGGAATAGGGACACTGAGCCAGCAGGGGTGCATGAAGAGGCACTGTCCCCTGGTGGCAGAGGAACCTGCCACTGAGAACCAAGCAAAGAGTGAGAACTTCTGCCCAACCCATGGGCCCATAACGCCACCCAGAAACCCTGGCATGGCACTTCCTTAGCCTCTCTTGCATTGGGCACCAAGGGTGGCAAGGAGGTGAGAGCTAGAATTTGCTGTGTGACTTTGAATTCGTCCCTTAGGACATATCTAAATACTAACCTTTCCATGATTATATCTACATCATAAATTCCTTCTCGCATTGTCCTAAGGTCACAATAGAAACACTCACACATGCCTCACCCATCTGGTGTACTGATCTTGGAGGGCTGAAGGGCTAGAGAACCCAGGGTGCAGACAGATCTGCCAAGTCTTACATGGTATGTGGGTCTAAGTAGGTAGCCCACGGCCAAGTGTGCATGCATGGTGGCTGCAGAGACCCAACCCTCCCATGACGGGTCCCCGAGGAGGAGGTCAGGAGCTCTTCTCACCTTTGAGAAAAACGAGGTGGTCCAGAGCACTTCTGGCTCACAGCATGTCTGTATGTTTGTGTGTACAGAGATCTTTCACAAACTCAGTGATATATGTGCTCTTCCCTTAGTTTTTAAGTGAATAGTGTGCTTTGGGAATCTCCTTAGGGCAGTACAGATGGATTAAATTTCCTTTAAACCCAGACCACCTTTTATTGCCCTGCTCAGGGACATTTTGAGTACTAGAGCTTTGCACTTCTATAACCAACGCAGCATGAGTGCTCCTGGACGTGCCTCTCGGCACACACATGTGAACGTGTTTGTACAGAAGGTGAAGTGGAATTGTGAGTTTCCACATGTGTTAATGACTCTGAGTTGCATTGACTGATATTGTCAAGTCACCCGAAAGCGGGACCCACCAAGGGGAAGAACATGCTTGCTTCTTCTCAGCATGATCAACAGAAAATATTATGGAGCTTTTTAAAAGCCATCATTATGACAGGTGAAAAATGATATCTATCTCATTGTTGCTTTAATTTAGATTGCTTTAATAATGAATAAACCTGTGTTATTTTTCATTTGTTTATTGATCTTCTGTATTTCTTCCCTGTGAAATGTCTGCTGGAGGGCTTGGATCTTTATTAAAACAAGAACTGTTTTATTAATACAAAAGGATGGAGGGCTGAAGAGAGAGGGCTCTCTTCCTTCATGCCAAGCAACTCCAAAGAAATAAAATAAAATAAATAAAACAGATCTTTCTCCCTAAGGTGATCTTGAGCACTTTGCCTCCACTGGGACCAAACAAATCCTGTTAATTGCATGCCAGTTTCGGCTGAAATTTACAGGGCGCCCAGCGCCCAAGTGTCCAACTCAACAGGGGCAGCTGAGCCTGGCAGCGGGCAGGCGAAGGTCCCGCGTCTAGCTCTCTCTGCCTGCCCCCAGCCTGCCCATCCATCCCCTGCTCTCAGTAACGCTTCCCAGCCCCCAAATCCCGGCCATGTCTGCTCCCCATTCCCACTTCTCTTGCTGGGGGCAGTGGGAGGCGGTGGAAGCCCAAGCCCGGAGTCAGTACACATGGGAGTGACCCTAGCCCTGCCACTGGGATATCCTGAGCAAAGTGTTTCTGCTCTGAGCCCATTTCTCATGTTAAATGGAAGGTTGTGCTCATGGCGTTTCCTGGTGTTAGGGAGGTGCCTCAGGGACTGTAAGGTAACCTCACCTCTCTTCAGGCAGGGTGGTCTGCTCTTAGTACTTTCTTCTGAGTGGGGCTCCATGCAAAAGATCGTCCAAACCACGGGGTCTTGAAGAAAAATCCAAAAGCCACTGGGTGCGATGACTTCCCTCCTGTACGCTACAGCTGGATTCCGGTCTCAGGCAGCTACAGCCCCAAGAGAGTGAGCCCACCAGCCCACCAGCCCAAATTTTCTAGGTCTTCAGGCTTTTAGCAGCTTCCTTTCACCTTGTGAATGGAGCTGAAGGACCTATGAACAATCCTCCTTCCTGCTCCTGGAAGCAGCTGGTGCTGAGATCATCCCTGGGGCCCTGGTGTTATGGTTTATGTCTGTGTGTCCCCTCCAAAGCCTCATGCGACCATGGGGCAGGCTATCAGAGTTGAATGATTGTGGGTGTGAGAGCTACACCCACCCTGGGGTGGATAGTTTGCGCATGTAAGGGAAAGGAAGAAGCTGCTTGAGGCTATTCCTCCCCCATTCCGCCCCGGTGTAAGTGAGTTGTTGCTTAGCTGTGGCTGCCGCCCTGAGATGCAGCTCTCTGCAGTGTGCCACTCTGCCTTATAATCTGCCAAGTATGGATTGAAACTTCCACGAACTGTAAGCAAAATAAACCTTTCCTTCCTTAATTTTGGGTGTCAGGTATTTTGTCCCAGCAGCGAGAAAAAAGTAACCAAGACACTGGGAAGGGAGGGAGACTAACAACCTCAAAGAGACAGGAAGGACAGACAGAGGGACATGGGGTCAGACTGTAGGAGCTGTGACCAGCGCAGGGAAGGAAGGCCACCTTGGGAGCACAGGGAGGGAAATAAGAGTGGTAGGGCCACCTGGGGCAGCTGTTAAAACCACCCTGATTTCCACAGGGACAGGGCCACCTCACTTTCTAGTTTTCTGTCTCTCATTCAATATGGCCATCTTGAATCAAAACTGACCATGCACTAGGCACTGGGCACACTAACCGAGCCTCTGCCCTCATGGGGCTCCTACTGTGATCGGCAGAGAGAATCCACAAGACGGGAGGAAAGCCCATGCGATTGTGGGGATAGCAGCGAGGGACTGTTTGTGTGGTGCTCGTGCCTGCCTCTCTGGGAGTACGCTAGTTGCCCACTGGAGATTTCCTAACCTAAAAAGGAAAAGCCAAGGGGACATCTGGCCCCACCATTGTTCCCACCACTGCAGCCAGCAGCGACGTCTGGCTACCTCCCATGAAGCCTAGGATGGGCAGAAACGCCTTCTCTGCCTTGGATGGAAGCTCCCGTACAGTGGCAGGGAGGAGGAGCTCCAGGAAAGTGGGCCAAAGATACAATCACAGAACTGCAGCCTCGGCTTCTGCAGCAGCAAGTGTATGCAGCTGCTGAGATGCCAAGCAATTCCCGCAGGCCCAGTCCTAGGCCCTCAGAGCCGGAGGTCAAGCAGCTGCACCTCAGGGTCCCTTCAGGGTAGCACCCAAGGGCTCCCTGTAGGCGGAATCTGCCAGGAAAAGGGCAATCTTCCCTGGCTGGCTACCCCAGGGGTAACTCAAGACTGCCCTCCCTTCAGGACAGAGAGCAGCACCTAAAAATTCAAAGACAAAATCATAGAAGCAGTCTATATGCCCACCAACAGATGAGCGGGTAAACAAAATGTGGCATTTATACACAATGGAGTACTACTCTGCCATAAAGAAGGATGCGCTTCAGTCAGTTTTAGGAAATTGGATGCACTTTGAGACCGAAATGAAGTAAATCAGACACACACGCTTACATTCTGCATGGTTTCTCCGGTATGAGAAACTCTGATTGGAAACAAGGAGATAGATTCTGTGAAGATGGGATGGGGATCTGATGAAGGGATGAGAAGGGAGCAGGAGAGTAAGCAAAAATGATCCAGATGTGACATGTACTTGTGCCAGTGCTCCAAAACGAATGTAATTATTATGCACCAAAAGCATACACTAATATTTTTAAAAATAGTCAAACCAAATCAAAGACCCTTTGAAGAAGTAGGAAGCCAGGAGAAAGGCAGCTTGCCTGCAGATGTAGCCAGCAGCTGTCGCCTCCTGCTCCTACTTCTTTCTCCTCTTTCCTTTCAGCTGCCCGTGAATCTTTGCAGCAATAGCTGGCAGCAGATAGTGGTCCAGAGGGGTTCGTCTCCTGTCTATCGGTCACACAGTGGCCCAGCATCCAACATCCCTCAGAGAGGCCAGGACGGTGCGCCACTGTGTTCAAGGAAGCCACGCGGCCTCTTTCCTGACCTCTTATGGAACCCCGGCTCAGCCAGGAGGCGACTCCGCAGATGGAAAGCATCGTTTCCGCGTCCAGGCAACAGAAGGCGATGTGTGCTCAAGAACCAGGAGAATCGGAGGCCAAAGGACAACAGCAGTAGGGACGCAAATGCGGTAAGTGTGTGCAGTCTCAGACGTGGCCCTGCTCTAAGGCAGGAGCAGCGGCTGCCCCTGAGCTGCAGAAAGATGTTGGCAGACAGGAGGAAGGAGAAGGCCCAAGGAGCTGCACACTTTTTCAGACAAGCTCATGACAAGTGCTGTCATCTTTGAAGCGGGTACCCTTCTGCAGTACCCCTCCATCCCACAGATGGCAAGGCCGAGAAGGGCGCAGGGAGGGCCAGGTGCGACTCAGTGTACTAGTCCAGTGTCAAACCAAGATCATCAGGTTAACTATCCAGGACCCTGGCCAGGCCAACAGAGGGTCCCAGGGAGGAGCTAGCTCGGCAGAGTTTAAGCAAACATGCTTCAAGCCCTGTTCTGTTCCGGCCTGCCCTCTACTGTTGGACGATGGAGACCAGTGGCTAGGTTGCTGTTCAACACTCTGCCAACAAACCGCGCACCAGGGAAGGTGGGGCGCATCACATCCCCAGCCCTGACGTCCACCATTCCCAGCTACTGGCTTTGACTCACAGGTCCTCATTTATTAGGAAACTCACTTGGCCTCCCCGTGCCTCTGTGGCCTTCCCTCGGGAAGGCTTTCTCTGTAAGCCTCCACAATCAGCCCAACACAGCAACCTCATGTTGCACCGCCGCTGTGGCTTGTTTCATGCCCTTCCCAACCTAGCTGGGGCAGTGCCCTTAGCTTGAGGCAGAGACCCCCTGACTTCTGGAGCACCATGCTCCACCATCACCAGCTCTTGTGTGCCCGGTCAGCTGCAGAACCCTAGGAAACCAGCACTGACAGCCCACCCACTGGGCTCCCGTGATTCAGTGAACCCCGTCCGACATGAAATGTTACTCAGGCTATTTTTACAGCACGCAGATCCTGGTGAAATTGAATCAATCACACAGTTTGAGCTCTTTAGAGAAATTGTTGAAAGTCACTGTTACTGGAGCTGCCAGTCTTACAGTTCCCAGAAACAGTATGTTTTATCCATAAAAACAATCTGAGGGGTACACGCATTCTGTGCATCTTTCAGGTGTTGGGTTATCACATCACTTTCCACAAAGGCATCCTAGGGAAGCCATTCGGAAGCTCACTTCTCCACTCCCAACCCTGCTGGCCCTGTGGGGACCATCGGCAGTCATCCTACATCCTTCCAGGGCTAGTCCGCTGGTCCTGGGCCTGGTTTGAGACTGGCAAGGTGCACCCATCTCTGCCTGAATCTCAGAGAAGCATGATGTCCACCCCTCCCACTATTCCCGGTGTGAATAGTGTGCTCAGGCTGGGAGAAGCAACTCCGGGAAGACATGGCGTCCCCCCGCATCACTTATCCCAGTGTGTATGACGTGCTCAGGTCGGGGAAAGGAGCAACAAAGACCCTCACTGCCACAAATGGACTTCTCTGGCTGAACTGTGCACCTCAGCCCAATTCGTGTGTTAGAATGAAGTACCTCACCATGTGCCTGGACTGGGAGATAAAATCTTTAAAGTGGAGACTGAAGTAAAGTGGCCCCAATCCAGCGGGACTGGTGTCCTTATAAAAAGAAGGGATCAGGACAGATAAGCACAGAGGGAAGGCTATGCAGACACAGGGAGAAGATGACCACCCGCAAGGCTGGGAGAGGGGCTTAGAAGGAAGCAACTTGCAGACACTACGATCTCAGACTCCCAGCCTCCAGAACTGTGAGGAAGTAAGCTCCCGTCTAAGACACCAGACGATGGCAGTTTGTTACGCCAGCCCTAACAAACTAACAGGGGGCTTGGGCTTTGGTGGGAGAATGTAATTGGTCAACACATTTGAAAACTGCGCTCTTACCGTGAGCCAGGAACCATGTTGTGTTCCGGGGAAGGAGTGATGAGAGAAGACAGACATGGTCCCCACTCTCCTAGAATTAATAGCTACAGCCAGGGAGAGGCAGGGTCGCTGGAGGGATGGATGTCAGCGCAGAGACAAAAGCAAGGTGACCTTTCTGTGCATGAGACAGTCGTGCCACGAATAACCCATGCTGGGATAATCAGGACAGATCTGCATCAGGACATCAGGACAGATCTGCAGTTGTGAGATGGCGCCAGCAGGTACTTCCTGTGAGCCCTTGGCAAAGTGACATGATCTCATTAAACTTGTTTCCTTGGGCTATAAAGACACCTTGAAGGTACCTGGGGAGCGCAGTATCAGTTGATGCACATATAGGGCCTGGCACACACGAAATCTCACTGTTGGCTGTGACCCTTTATAAGTGTAACTCATGGATCTTCCCCTTGTATTGCCCAGCCTTCAAGATGAGGGGACGGAAAGGGTAAAAAGGGGTCCCTCTTTCCCAAGCTACACCCCTGAAGCACAGGATCTGCTTCTTTCCTGATTCTGTCTCTGCTCCAGCAGGGACTGAGAAGAACCTGGGGACAAGACCCTCTCCCCCACCGTTATTTCATGAAGTTTCTCCCCTTGATTTGTCACCTTCTGCAAGCAACTCAAGTGCCTTGGCCCAACGAGAAAGGGAAGCCCAATTCCTGTGTGGTGTCCCCAGGGAAATGCGGAAGCCAGAGGCCTCATCCTATATTCGCTTCATTGAATGGGCCAGCCTGGAACCCTAAGTCATCGTCTGAAACACTTATGTTAGGTGAAAGAGCCTGAAAGTCAAAACCCAAGTTCCAAATGTGACCTAATCTGTGTGCTGGGGTCTACTTCATTTGTCTTCCTAACATCCCCCGAAGGTTGGCATCACTCAGCCATGCCAGCCTAGCTAGATCTGTGGCTGCCATTCCTCCTCCACATTTAATTCTCTATGATATCCCACATATCAACACTGTCCTATCACTGCCTGGGCTTTCCCTATGAAAGGGTGGCTTGTTTTCATTACTGGCTCAGTGGTACAGTGCTTCTTAGCACATGTGAATCCCTGGGTTCAATTCCCAGAGCTGCAAGGAGGAGGAGGAAGAGAGAAAGAAGAGGTGGAGGAAGAGAAGCGGGAGGAAGAAGAAGAATCTCCAGTAACTACCACCACGGAGGGCTGGTGCAGCTTGGACCAGAGACACCCCATGGTTGCATCTCAATGCACACAGAGAGCTGGGAGTCTTTGGGCCAAGCTCACGCTCCCCCCACGTGGAGGCAAGGCCATCGCTGCCTTCTGAGCACTCTCCGACCCTTGCCGTCTGCAGAACTCAGGGAGCCCAAGCAGGACGAAGCCTGAGTATTGTGTCCCATCCACACAGGACATGCGCAGACTCCTCCCTTCTACCCATCTCCCAGCTTTGAAGCCAAGCAGGGCATCCTTAGGGCAGGGGACACCTGCACTGGTAACCAGGGATCAGAGGACAAGGAAGTTGCTAGCCCAGACAGGTGACAGATCTTACCTCAGCCCAGGGGCATGGGTCAGGAGATCTTGTTACATTCCATGGGACAAACTTCACAGCCCAGGACACCTCTGCCTCCTGCTCAAAACAGGCTTGAGCTATTTTCTTACCTACAGTCTGACTTGGACAACCAGGTTGGACTCACAGCCATTCACACATCCAGAGACGCAAAATGGATTGGGACAGAATGTGAAAGGATGCCATTTGCTCTTTATTATTATTATCTTCTGGTACAGAAAGAGACAAAAGTTAACAGCTAAACTCAACAATTGTAAACAGAGCAGAGAGCGAGAGATTAGAAGCAAGTTCGCCAGCTGGTCCCAGGCTCCAGTGAAATCCTGACAGATTACTGAAAGGACAGATTTTCCAGTTGACGTGGGTCAACACATGAAGATGAGCACAGTTGAACGTGGTACCAAAAGCAATCAATTTCATGGTAATCATGTCCGTCAGCTCAGCTGCACGTATCAGAGTTGCCACTGTCACAAACTCACAATCGTAGAGTGAGCTAGCAGATGTGTTCAGGCCTGGGAAAGTGGCATCTGCGAGCGGAGGAGATTGATTGGGAGCAGAAGCACAGCTGGGGATGGGTCCCCACCTTGGGTATCTGTGTGAATGTTCAGCCCGCTCGGACACCAGTACAGTGGAAAAACTGTGGCGGCCTTGAGCCGCAGGGTGTGTGGTGTTCCGATATCTTTGTCTCAGAAATTCTTGCTAGAGACGGTGAGAGAGACTCACTGCCCACAGCCCATGAAAGGAAAAACTCCTGGCCTTTGAATATTCAAGGATGAATGATGAGAGCAGCCAGTCTGCTAGTGCAACATTTGCTTTACAGAATACTTAGAAAGACACGTGCTTGTGTTTAGATTGCACTCAAGTTCACAAACGATATTATTCATAGGATGAATACAGGAGCGGAGGAAAAGGCTGCGCTATCCAACATCCCCATGATGGAGGGCGAAGAAGGAATCACCCTTCCCAGGGGCCTTACGGATTCAAATTGCTGAACCCCAAAGCAAAAGGCGTGGCGAACGGACTCTTAATACCTTGAGCCTTTCCTTTGAAAAAAGTACTTGTTTTAAACTGGATTCCTCTTACACAGAAGACCCTGAAATGGATCCAAGCGGCGAATCTTTCCATATTTTTATGTCATAAGGATCACAGCTACTGTGAAGTATTTGAAATTATGATTTTTTTCCCCTCTAAGTTTTGAATTACTGGGTTTCGGATTAATGGGCTTTTACTGTCGTTCCAAGCAGTCTGATTACAGCATTTTTTAATTAGCTAATTATACTGATTAGTATTAGCAGACGACAGTGGGGAGGATGTGCTTGTTTCTGGATCGGCGAAATCCCGAAACGGAGTCTTCCGCCTCAGCAAGGTGCACCTAGCCCAGTGGCTCACCCTTGTCCCAGAAAGACAGATCTTTTCTCCCTCATCTTGCTCTCACTCACAAAGCAAAGCTAGAGGCAGTGTTGACGTTTTTCTTCTCCTGGGATGCCATCTGGGTGACAAAAGACCAACTCTGCCTGGGGACTGGGAGTCTTCACTCACCGGAAGAGGGGAAGCAACTGGCTCCAACGACTTAACAAAAAAGACACTTTCCTGTCCCAAATTCCTCATACTTGGGTATCAAAAACACACTGTCCAGCACATCAGGCAGAGCCCCGTTTTCTAAGCACCCTAAGGAATTCACACTAATGGCAGTGGATTGGCAAGTAGAAGTGGAGGCCTCGGCCTCCTGGGTGCGACTCCTCAGCCTCAGCCAGGGCGCGAGGCAGCTGTGTCGGGGTGCACATGCCAGGCACCTAGCACCCCGCTCTTACTCTTGTGCTTTCATTTGGAAAACCCGAGGCGATGGGCAGTGGGGAAGGGGCAGGACTGTGATTGTTGTTTTTAAAAAGTCTTAAAAAGTTTTTGGTTGCAAACAAGTGACGGTTCTATTTCAATGAATTTTTCAAGCCTTTTCTTCTTCTTGAATGAAAAAATATCTAAGTGACTAGCCCACCATTTCCAAAGTCAATAGTCGCACATTTTTCTGCGAAAGAAAAGTAGGAAGGAAAAGAAACGGAGGGAGGGAGAAGGAAGGAAAGAAGGAGGGAGGGAAGAGAGAGAGGGGTCCTAGGAGTGGTCAGAGTGCCCTCAGCTACAGAACAGGAGCAAAGAGGATGGAGCCTTGTGCCACGAGGGGCATGTGGGATCCCCCAGGGCAGTGCTGCTTCATCTTCTTCCAAAGCCTTTTGAGGGGGGACAGAAGGCAGTGACTTTGGGGGTTCCAACAGCTAACCTCGGCTTTCCTCTCAAGGCCCTGTCATGAGGCTGCCCAGCCCCGGGAGGGAGGGCACATTCCTCCCTTCAGACCGGATCCCTCCTGCTATAAATATAGCCGAACACCGGCTATTGTTTCAGGTAAGCAATGAGAAAAGGCAACGTGCACACATGTATACACATATACACACGCACACACACACGTCCCGAAACAACAAAAATGTGGCTACTGAAGTGTTAACATCATATCAAATCAACATTCATACAAAGACAGTTTGAAAAGCTATGTACAGGGCATTCATCAAAGCCAAGTATGCACCACGAGGCGCTCTGCCCGTTGTGTGTACTGCAGTCCTTTCTCCACTGGAAGCTGCAAACGCTGTCCCTGGCCCTCGGCACAGCCCCGCCGGGGAGAGCTCCCATAAGGGGAGCCTAGGTTACAGACCCTAAGGAGCAGCCTCAGGTTCTCCCTACAGCCATTCCTCAGTCCTGAGGGAAGCACACTGCCCTCGGGCCAGTCCCAGGCTTAGCTTCCTCAGGGCTACCCAGCCTCAGGCTGCCGGGCAGATGCCTGAGGTGTTGGCCTTCCTTGGCACACTCCCTCTGGCTCTGGTCAGGGGAAGGAAGAGAAGCCTTTTGCAGGTCACACTTGGGCACCTGCTTGAGAATACACTGGGAGAGCTGGGGCTAGCCCCAAGCTTCTAGCTTCTTGAGGCCCTCCAACATGGCCAACATGGGCCCTGGCTCCATCATAGAAAAAGCACAGGCCTTCTAGACCAAAACGCCCTTCATGAGGAAGGGCACAAGTATAGTGCTACAGGCTCAGGGGAGAGGAGAAGGAAGGAAGGAAAGTGGAACGCCGCCTGGTAGGCATCTCTGGCATCACAGAACTTGGGGAAGGCTGGAGGGCACGGAAAAGGTGAGGCAGGAGGCTGACTCCTCTCAGGCTGAGACTCTATATCAGAGGCAGATGAGGCGCTCAGTAAAAATGGTCCCTTGAAACCTGCACAGTTCTAGAAGCATCTTTCCAAGGGCAAGCCTCACTGCTCTGAGGGGCTCCAAGCACTTCACGAGCAATAGCCCAGTCAGCCTCCGATGGGCCTGTGAGGTAGGGGGAAGGATGGAAACCCTCGTGGCGGGGTCCAGTTATCCAAGTGGGATAGGAAACAAACCTCTTGACTGGAAACACAGGCTGGGGACAGTCCCCAGGTCCCTAGGGGCCTCCAAAAGTTATCTGTGGCCTCAGGCAGGGCTGCATTCTAGGAATGAGCCCTCGCCTGCCTCCGAGAGCCATTCAGACAGGAAGCGTGCAGACTCAGTGGGTTTGAAATTGCTGTGGCTGCCAAGAGACCCTCACTGTGCACTGTTTTGGGCCCCACAGAAGGTTGCTACATTTTTTAAAGCACCACAGGCCAGGAGGACAGAGATGGGGGAGGCGAGAGGTGGTATCGTCAACATCTTTCATGCAGTTGATGACAGTTACAGAGCACGTCACCTCTGTCTAACTGCTGTCCCAAGCCTCACTAAAATCGGACCAGCACCTGGCTATGCCAGAGCAAAACCTGGATAGACCTTCAACCCCGGGTCATGGCTCCTCCACAAAGAGAGTTTTAAAGAGACGTTTTAGGCTCCTCTCCCCACTGGGGCACCAACGTCAAGGGGAAATTATCCACCTGAAGTTCAAGTTCCACACACCCATGCACAAAAAGGGAAGTATCCTAAAAGTTCAAAGCCAGAGAGCTCAGGGCCGAGGAGGCCAAGCTCAGGGATTTAACCAGCCTCTGGATGGAGAAACCACACAAGGAGGAAAGTTTCACTCTGTTCTAGCCTACGCCCTTGACTACTCAGAGGCCTCAGGCTCCAGGCAGCGCTCGGTTTTCCCCAGGACGAAGTGCTCCGGGGAAAGTGGGCTCCTGCCGCTGGTTCTAGCACAGCAGGTACACAGATCTAGGGGGGCCAAGCTCACCAAAAACAGGATGGCAGAGTTCACGTGGGCCCCTTGGTGACTATAAAGGAAGAAACTCTGCCACCCAGCGCACTGCCCCGAACCCTTCACGCACCCTGTGTTCCAGCCGGGTTGCCGCAGGCCTGGTCAGGAGTGAGGGGTGGGTGTCAGGGGAGAAGCCTGTCACAGAACTGTGCAACTGATTTCCTTCAGTTTCCAACACGCCATGGCCCAGTGGCTGCTCTTTGGTTCTACGGTGTTCACTACTTGTTCTTTGTTATTACTTGGTTTGTCTGTTGCACAATCCTCGGCCCTGTCCTCGCATGAGGAGGACAGGGAGCACAGAACTGCGGAGGAGAAGGGGTGCTGCAGAGCTGGCTTCTCTCCCTCTCCTCTGTGGCCTAACGCCCAGGCATAGACAGGCCACCACCCCAAGGCCCAGGTAGCCGAGCCTGGGGACATTCTGGCCACAGTCAACACAACGGGGTGATTCCTTTGGCATAAGAGAAGCCGTCCCAGATGGGAGGACAGGACAGGGGGTGTGGGGGGCTTCCAGAAGAGTCGGTAGCTCTTCTCAGGGGGCTTGAGTCATGCACATTCTGTACCCCTGCCCACCCTACCTGTCTCTGACAATTGGCTTCCTAAAAATCCACGGTTAGGGAATTATTTGGCAACAAGGAGGCTAAGGCTGTTTTGTGGTGGCAAACAAAGTCTTTCCAAAGTTCCAAAGCGAACAGGAAACCTCTGAAAGAGGCTTCCATCCAGGCCGGGACATGGGCCTCACTACTTGTCTGCGCCAGGGCTGGCGGCCACTATCTCCTCGTACTTCGGGGGCGGGTCACTGTATGAGACACTGGCTTCCTCACTGCTTCCTTCCTGGGGTGCAGTCACCTCCTCATAGGACGGTGGAGGGGTGGCACTAGACAATCTGGTGAGAGAGAGCTCTGGGAGGTAGAGGGTGCTCTCCAGCCGGACTGTGGCTCTGCTCCCCCGGTTGGGCCCCAGCATCACCTGCGGAGTGCTCCCCACCTCCCGGTGCCCAGAGGACTCCCCCTGGCTGTGCACAGTGCCCCGGTACACCATGACCCGGGGCAGGCTATGCCCGGCGCGACTGGCTAGGTACCGGTTCTGAGCATAGGAGGGGTGGTGACGGGTTGCTTTCTGTAGCTGGCACCTCCAGATGATAAACAAGGCGATGACAATCAGCAGCGCTACCCCCAGAAGAGGCACGACCACGTACATGGCGTCAGAGCTCTGTGAAGGGTCTCGGACAGAGTAGACTGCATTCGGGTACCCCTTCCAGAATTCCATCTGCAAAAGAGGAAGGGTGGCTCACACCTGCAGAAGAGGATGAGTGGACGCGAGAGAATGCTGCGAGCCAGGCACTCCTTCTTGCTCCAGAGGGACCCAGAGGGACCCAGGAGGAGAGCTGGGCATCCCACCCTGCTGCCCCACCAGCCTCACAGAGCTCTCAGTGAGGCCGCTGTAAGAGCTGAGGACAGAGGACAGTGTTCCCAAGTGAGGAGCCCCCCGAAGGCAGGCCCTGGAACCCTATCCCAGTCTAGTCCCAGGGCACTGGTCCTAGGCTCGGTGGCTTTCTTTCCTTGTTCCACCATGTTTGAGGTGCCCAGCCTGTTGGCCTTGTGCTTCCTCTCCTCCCCAGACCCAGCCGCTGGAGGGGGTACATGCCGTTTTCTCCTTGTTCTCAAACACCTCCTTGACCTCCTCGTAGCTGCAGATCTCCTCCATGCACTCGCGCTCGATGGTGCCCTGGCGCAGCTCCTCCAGGAATTCATTGGCCCGCGGGAAGCGTTTCAGAACAGAATGGGCATTCTTGGCCTCCAGAAACACTGAGGAGAGAGCCCCATACAGGGCCGGAGTGTGGAGGTGTCCAGAGCCTCTTTCAGCCCAGGCTGAGTCAGGGACTGGGACACAGTCACGGAGGGAAAGCAGGCAAAACAAGCGGCATGACAGCAGGCTTCGACCCGAGGGACAGAGTTGAAAGGGACAGAGCACGGACATTCCATACCACCAGGCTCTTCCTATCTAGAACACGGGGGCCCCAGCAGGGTTCAGGCCCTCACTAATATAGGGAAAATGGGAACCAGCCAAGAGAAGACCACATTGCACAGGAACAAGAGTCAGAATTTTGAGTACCATAGTTGTCAGTGAATAAATATCCAGGTTCCTCTGCATTTAGCTCGAAAAGGGGCAGTCGGAACCCTTGTTGTGATAACTAATCCCTCTCTGAGGCTGACACTGTAAGACTAACAGCAGGTAATGCCATAGGACCCCACAAGGGCAGCATCCCGCCACCTGAAGTGGCCCCATGTGCCATCACGTCAATTGGCATCAGTGGTCTCACTTGGGTCAGTCCGGTACAAAGCCCGGCTGAGCTGGAAGCACACAGCTGAGCGTGCTCTCAGAATGAATGGAGGCAGTAGGGTCTACATGGAGAGTCTACGCACTGAAGATTGGGCCAGACTCTTTTGAAGGCATGGACCGAGCCAAGGCTTCAGAGGGTGGAGGAAGAGAGAATTTTGCTCCAGGTATTTACATGTCGGATGCCCCTCAGTGCCCAGGCTAGTGTTAGCCGTGCCCCTCCCATGCCATGTGGCCTGCCATGTCCGTGTGCCTACGGAGCCTGGTAAGTGCATATCTCCAGGCGGCAGCATGCTCCTGTGGGAGTCCAAGGGTGAGCAGAGCCTGCTGCTCAGCCGATTATAGACAGTGGCCACGGGCTCCCCGAGAGGAAAGCTAGGAAGGTCTTGAAAGAGGGATGTGTGCCTTGGCCATGAACCTCCCCCCACTCTGCTCAGCCGGCAAAGACTCACCTGCCATGATGCTCCCTCAGCTCCAGAGTCTCACTTGCCTGGACGGGAAGAAAAGCAGAGCTGTGGTGAAATCACAACCAGAAATTTCCATGGCACCATCTTCACCACGGGCTGTGACCCCCCAGACCGGGTCAAAAGGTCCACGCAGTACCCCCCTCCCATGAAGCACCTCTGTGCAGCCACTCATACCTCAGGTTGCTTCTCATTCTACCCCTAAGCTCTTCTCCAGAGCTCCCCAAGGCCCAGTAGAGCCCCCGGCAAACCTTCCTCTATTTCCCCCAAGAGCACACCCTGAGCGTCCAGAGAACCCAAGGGTTGACCTTTTCTTTAAGAAAACTCCTACAGGCGGAGCCTCCCTCCTCACTGCCCTCCATAGAGCTCTGCACCTTTGAATCAAAGAAGACCTCAGAGACAGATGCAGAAAGGAAGGCCAGTGATGTGGAGTGGGGGTGGGAGGAGGCAAGGTCAAGCAACTGAGCTGCGACACAGGCAGGACCTGACCTGATCACAACGGCAACTCCAGAGCCCTCCAATGGCAAGCTCATTCCCTGAAAACCAAGCATAATGCCACAGCAACAACCATCTCAAATGTCCAGGCCCATCTGGAACTGGCCTACGATGGCCTTCAGTGGACACCTGTTCTGCAGGATCAGAGCCTCTATGTGCGACAACAAGCAGATCCATTAGGTACAAACAAATCCACGTGACCTTTTGGGTTTGTCTTCACTAGACAGGGTGGCGAGATGCCCAGGCTCCTCTCGAAGCAGGAACCGCTCCTCTCTTTTCTCTAAAAATCACTGTAGCAGAGCACCAAGATGTGGATTTAAATGATCAGGACTGGGGATGTGGCTCATGCTAGAAGTCTTGCCTCGTACATGTGAGGCCCTGGGTTAGATCTTCAGACACACACACACACACACACACACACCCTGAGATGCTAACCAGAAGAGCTGCCTGTCATGTAAGCTCCTATCCCAAAGCCTTTCTCCTGCTAAAACCCTCTCTGGTCAGGATTCGAACCCTGGGCACAGCACACTACTCTCTCTGCCCTTCTTTGCAAGACACATTTCCATGCACACACATCTTCTGGACAGCTGACCAAGCTATCCACATCTGGGAGCAATCACCACTGCTTCCCTCCCAGGCAGAAGCTCGTGTTTTATGACTAACGGGACGCAACACACGCGAGCTGTGTAACCCATTACACTGCCCTTTTTGCTCAGGCTGCCAGGGAATTCAGTGTTAACACAGACTTTGACGCACAGGCGCCCTGATGGCCCAGCTGTTGGCCACAGACGCTTCTCTCCTCGAACTAGGTACAGTTTTCTATTCATGTTTTCAGAGCTTCATCGTGCACTTCTAATACGGCCTCTAATCCTTTTGGCAAACAGGTAGGATACAACGGATCACCGACAACGAAAGGGTAAACAGCGCATGTCCCATCCAGATGGTGTCCCATGTCACCACCTGGTCTCCCATGTCACAGGGGCTTCCTCTTTTGAAGCATGCAACAATCCTATCAAAAACTCTCAACATGGGAATGTGAATCTGCCAAAGATGGAGTTCCATTGTGAGAGAAATGGCCCCTGATGCTCCTAAGGGCAAAGGCCGGATATTATCTCAAAAGTCTCCTTCCCTGTGGGTCTCAGACAGGTGAGTGGCGAGGGTGTGGAGGTGGAGTGCTCAGCAGCAAGGAGCTTCAGGTGAAGGAAAATGGAGTCTGTGTCTCGGTGCGAAAAGAATGAGTGAAGGCTTTACTAATAATGGAAGAAAGAAAACGTTTCATTGCCTACCAAAAGAGAATTGCAGAGCTTTAATTTTTTTACACGGAAAAAATTACATAATAGCTTCCACATAGCCATCTTTTGTCCCAAACACGCAGACTTGGGAGCTCCCAAATGCGTATGATCCTGGCACCTGCCAAAGTCAGTAATTCATTTTTCAGCTCCAGAGAAGCCAGGATCTCCCCAAAACAGCTCGCATGCATGGCATCGCCCCCTCCATTAGTGATTCTGTAGCCACCATCACTGCTGCCACAGCCTGCCAGGAGGCCTCTTCCCCCTCCCCAAAATTTAGCGCCTGCTTCTTTTCCCTATAAATACTCCATCAATAGGCAGTTACTATGGCAACAGTGAAGAAGCCAGGGCTCCACGACAGAGAACGCTGCTGCAGTCACGCATGTACATGTCCCTCCTGCCCCTGGTGGGTGCTGGAAAGCTGGCTGGAGGCTGGAGGAATTTTTAACCCCGTCCCCACAGGAACACAGCTGAATGCCCACAGCCAGGAGGGGAAGCGGGGGCAGGGAACTGGCCACCACGGAGACCTCCCTTAACCTTACCCAGGGTGGAACCCTCTGAATCACACCACCGTGGGACCCAGCTCCCGAAGGCCCTCACACCGGGACTGGCGGCCACCAGAGCACCTGGTGTCCTGAGACGTGGCCTCCAAGCCACTTCTCCAAATCCCGGCCCTTTTTACTTCCATCACTCAGAACTGATTGCCAGGAAAGGGTTCCCTGATCTCCAAATCTCATGACTCATCGACCCACCCAGTGACAAGGCAACTCCCAAATTATGCTCAAAGTCAAACTCTGGGCCCCTTGTCCCCTTCCATTCACGCGAACCCTGAAAGTGCCTGTCCTTCACTCAACACCAGCGCCCTGGCCAGCAACTCCTGCTTCTGGCCCAGCCACACTCTTCTCCCGGGTCTGCTGGGGACCCCAATGCCTTGGCCGGCCGGGCCTCCAGACTCCCCCTCCCCAGCAGTGCCCCATGCCCAGCTCCGTGGCTTTGGACACCAAACCGTGCCCTCGGGGCCGGGACGCCCAACCCAAACGGCCTCACCGTTCTCCGGGCCCAGGAGGCGGCCGCCCTGCTTGCGCACGCAGCCCGCCACCTCGCTGCTGCGCCTCTTCCAGCAGGGCCCCTGTCCCCGCCCACCTGCTCCCCGCCGGCCAAGCCCCCGGCCCGGCCCAGCCCTCCCCACCCACCCGCGCTCCCCGCCCAGCTGCCCTCCCACCGCCCCAGGCGCCGGCTCGCTCTCCGGGCCAGGGCCAAAGTGCGCCGGGCGCCCCCGCCCCTCGCAGCCAGGCGCCCAGGCCTTGCCCATTACCTCGGCACCCCCCTGCCTGTCCCCGCTCTCCTCTGGGGGCTCCGCCGATGCCCGCCCCCCACACCCCGCCGCGCCAGGTCTGGCCTCGCGCCCCGCGCCTCGAGCGCCACCCAAGAGCGCCACGACCGCCGTGCCCCGCTCGCCAGGCCGCGATGGTCGCGCTGCACCGCGCACCAGGCCTCCGGGCCAAGAGAGGAAGGAGGGGTGGGGGCGACGAG